ATAAAGCTTTGTGCTGTAAGAGAAAGATTATAAAAATGGAAAATGGTACAGCAATCTTAAAGGAGATTTTTGTTTTAAACCACGTGGAAGAACAATAGAGAAACAAGAAAAAAAACGAGATGACAAGTGCCATTGCAAAGTCTACGCTCATTTATTTTGTGGAAGATGTTGGTCTTAATTAAAAATTTTATTAGGATCGTAACAAATGAATGCATGTATGAGCCTCTGCCAATACGCACCATTGCATGAAAAATACATGAACTGTACGAAAAGGAGAGAAATATAAAGGCAACACTACTCTAACGCATTCAAACTGTTACCCTCACCGGAGACTGCTGGACATTGCTCGGTAACCATAATTATCTCGGATTTACTGTTGATTACATTAATGATCAAGGAAAACTGCATTCACATGCTTTGACAGTAATGAAGATAAAAAATTTTTTTTGCTGAAATGTGCGTAAAAAATTTTAATCATATTGCACTGCAGTGGCAAATTTCAAACAAAGTCAGCACACTTATCAAAGGGAGTGCAAAAGATAATGCCGTCCCTACAAGATATTTGCCTTTTGAACGCGTCCCTTGCATCGCACACCCAGTCTCGGGTGTTCAGTCACAATATCTATACACAACAGCGCGTTTGACAATGCCCTGGCCAAGTTCAGTAAGCTAATGAGCCATTTAAATACAGTCCAGCAAGTTCTGCAGAATCAGAGAAACAAAAAAAAAAATTCATTGGAAAAAAGAAAGAGTCACTTATGCAAGACATTCCAACCTAATGGAAGTCAATTCTAGGCCTTATAAAAGATATTTGCAGAAACAAACAGTAATTGAGTAACGTATTCACCACGCTACACAAAAATGTTTTATTGCTATGCCAACATCAGCTGAAATGGAAAAATTACAATGTTTGGAAAAACTACTTGAGCACTGCAGGTACATTTTATGTCATATAATTTTCACCGACTGATTTGATTGATTGTGAGAGAGAATTAATATGCCTGTATGTGTGTAAGCATAATTATGAAAACATTTTTTGTGTGCATAAGTGAGTTCAAAATCCTTTAGTGAAATAGATTTGATTTATTTCAAGTATGTGACTGAATTTATGGGCGGAGAAAAAGATGTTTTAAGCTACGAGGTTTGGTCTGCTTTTTGCCGTCTTTCTAGGGTAATGCAGACGATGACCTGGCCTATGTGGTTAAATTCAAGTCTACATTCAGAACATACCTAGAGACACGCAAAGAAATTGCTAACATTGCACATCTAAAGATTGCAACGGCATTGGACCCGAGATTCAAAGACCTCTTGCTAATTGTAATAACTAAGACTCAAAATTATATTATGCAACAACAACAAAAAAAAAGGATTGGGTTTTTTTCCATAAAAGCTACAACAGAATAAAAGACAATAAAAAAGTTATATAAAATTATCAGAAAAAGTTAAAACTAAATTATAGGAAACAACATCCGCAGCTTCATTACGCTACTGCACGTCTAGAAATGAGAATGGGATGCCTTCTCAGCAGGTAAAAAGAAATTGTCAATTTTTTTTTCCTACAATATTGTTTTGACCAAGTTCGGAGTTACCCCGCGTTCGCCATTACCCTACACTCCCTTATACAATCCTTTCTCTTGATCATATAAATAACAAGTTTAAATTAAATATTTTAAATTATTTGGTAAAGTTGTGAATGTTATATTTAAAATGCAATTTTTTAATCATATTTCATTTTGTGAATGCCAGAATCGTATTAAATTTTAACCAAATGTTTATTGCATCTAGTTGTAATATTGGAACTAAACGTTTTACAATATTGTTAGGAGTTTTTGATTTACTGTAAATTTTAGTTTCAAAAATGCATCTTTCATGCGCCATTTTTAATGCGTCATTGTGAAAATTTCAGCTTAGCTTAAATGATGTTTTTTTTAGAACATTTTTTGTTCCATTTGTAAACTAATATGTTGTTAATCATGTGCCAAAAATCATATATGATTTTTGGCACATGATTGTATGCTTTCACTTACTGAGATAGTATGGCCAAGCTGGCGTAAATATATTGGATGTCTACTATTTTCCTTGGTAAACATGGCAGTTAATAAGTTTATTTTGCATTATTAAAATCCTAATATTTAGTTACTTAGCAGGATATTTTTAATTTTTTGTTGAAAAGATTCAACTAATAAAATATTTGTTAAAAGATCTTAAACTCTAAACCAGAATAAATTTTTTTTTTCTTTCTGTAGTCAAAAATTGATATCAAAGAGAAGCACTCTGGCACCCAGAACTAAACGGACTGCCAATCATTCAAAATGCAATGAGTTTTATAGTTTTAACGCCATCACCTGATAATAAGTTTATAAATAATTTGTCACCTATTTTTTATGGTCAAGGATATCAAGATAATATTTTGCATTTATATACTTTGAAATTTCCATCCGCCTAAATTTTTAAAAGGAGCAAGTAAGTTAAGAAGCTTTTGCTTCTTAACTTACTTGCTCCTTTTAAAAGTAAGTTGAGAAGCAACTTTGTACTTGAGAAGCTTGAGAAGTAAGTTGAGAATCACTTTGGTACTATAATTAAATGAAGCATTTGAAAATGAGCCCAAAAATAGTCGAAAATGAATAATATGTTACATAAATAAATATCTATGCCTCGAATGGTTTTGATTTACATTATATATTAGTTAGACTATTTTATTCTGAGTGTGTATGAACACTGATAATGTACATATTTAGATTAAAAATAACCTTTAGCTAAACTGAATTAATAAAGGATAAAAATAATTCTGACTCATTATTTAAATATTCTAAACTAATCTAAATACTCACATTTGTAAAATGATTAACATTAAAAACAAGAACTCACTAAACACAACAAAAAACTGTCAATTAAACAGTTTTTTTTACAAAGTTTGCTGGATCATTATTTCAATCATATTTCAACTGGAAATAATATTATCTATTTTAATCTGTTCACACAACAATAGCGATTTTTATATTCTTACATAAGTTTTAATTAAAAATGTTAAACCTAGTTCTGTGTTTGTAATTTTTTTAAATTTTTTATTAAAACAGTTTTTTATTGTTGGCAATTATTAGGCAACAACATAGCCATGGTGTTTAGGATTTTCCCTGAAAATATTAGTTGGTGTAGGACATTCCCTGAAAACCTTTACTGAGAGATTAGACACTAACAGGAAGCAAATTTATTTTTTTAAAAACACCATTTAACAAATAAAGAAATGGCCTTTTTGATATATATGAAGAAGTTATGAAAAATTAGAAAAAAATCAAAACTGTTGCTGTTTTCTAATTGTTTATGATGTAGCTGTCAAGTGGCTAAGTGTTTTGTTTTAACAGATTATTGATTCAATTTTTCTTTATCCGAATAGGTGTAACTTTTTATGGTATTATATACTTTTGAAATAAATAAACTCTTAAAAGTTATTTGTTAATAAAATAAAAATAGTTGCCATCATAAAACATAAAAAAAGGTAATAATAAAAGATGCAGCATCGTCTGTAAAAAAATTTGTATTTCTTAAATTAGAATTTCCGAAAAAAGCATGCTGTGACCCAGGGATATATTCTTATTTAATAAAAACCCTCTTCTTTTAAAAAAAGCCCTAACAACACCTTAAAGAAACATTAAACAACACATAACACGAGTAAAAATTACACTCTCTAGTGTCAGCGTTATATCAACATAAAAAAGTCATAACAGTAAAATTAAATTTATTCTTAAAAATCAATTTCTTGAAAATTCTTGTTTTACAGCGCAAAAGTTATGTATAAAATGTATATATATATAATAAATGTATGTATAATATATATATATATATATATATATATATATATATATATATATATATATATATATATATATATATATATATATATATATATATATATATATATATATATATATATATATATATATATATATATATATATATATATATATATATATATATGATTTAAAGGATAACATCTTGTGTGAGAGTATATTTATATATTATTTTAAAACATCAAAAATACGATTTCTCTCAACACTTATAATTTTTTTATTATTATAGAAATTTTCGCTGGATTTTAGATACCAGCTTCTTCAGCTTGTTAAATGTTACAGTAATTAATAAAATCGTTATAATTTAAATTAAAACGTTGCTATTGACGTTGCTATTGCTGTTGAATGGCTTCTTTTTCGCTGAAATTTAAAAAATGGCGTCCAAAACTTGGTTTTTACGTATTGACCCTCATCGAGATTAATCCCGCCATTTTTTGCAGAACACATGTTTTTTTGTATTTCTAGGGCTTCCCTAACTTTTCTTTCAAATTTTTTATTTTCTACTTTTAATGTTTGGGAACAAACAAAAACATTAAAAGTAGAAAATAAAAAATTTGAAAGAAAAGTTAGGGAAGCCCTAGAAATACAAAAAAACATGTGTTCTGCAAAAAATGGTGGGATTAATCTCGATGAGGGTCAATACGTAAAAACTAAGTTTTGGACGCCATTTTTTAAATTTCAGCGAAAAAGAAGCCATTCAACAGCTGACGTCAATAGCAACGTTTTAATTTAAATTATAACGATTTTATTAATTACTGTAACATTTAACAAGCTGAAGAAGCTGGTATCTAAAATCCAGCGAAAATTTCTATAATAATAAAAAAATTATAAGTGTTGAAAGAAATCGTATTTTTGATGTTTTAAAATAATATATATATATATATATATATATATATATATATATATATATATATATATATATATATATATATATATATATATATATATATGTATATATATTTATATATATATATAGATATATATATATATATAGATATATATATACATACATATATATATATATATATATATATATATATATATATATATATATATATATATATATATATATATATATATATATATATATATATATATATATATATATATGTATATATATATAAAGAGAGAGAGAGAGAGAGAGAGAGAGAGAGAGAGAGAGAGAGAGAGAGAGAGAAAGAGAGAAAAAGAAAGGGAGAGAAAAACGACAAGTAAAGCAATAATATATAAAAAGCAAATATACATCAAAATATCTCCACTTTTATATATGCAAACAACACCTTTCAATATACATGATGGTAATTATTAAGACCATTTTAATATTAGTTTCCAGGAATCATAACTAAACTTTCGAAAAAACAAACCTTTAGCGTTTCCTAACAAAACAAGTTGTTATTCTTAGAGTAATCAATAAAAAGATTAAAACTAATAACACGATAAAACAAACATACTAGAAATCTTTTTACCTAACCATTGGTTTGATCCAAAAGTGTAAGTTTGATCATAATCACCTTCCATACCTTTTCGCATTGATGCATCAATATAACCAAAAGCTGTATCATAAAATTGTTGGTTCGTCAATGATAACCATTTTTTTTTTTTCTGACAAAACATCATGAATGTTTTCTGGTTTCGATGGATTGCATATAGTTGTTTAGTTATTGAGTGGTGACCGAGAACAGAACCAATACGTACATCTAGCTCTAAAATAAATATCTTACCTTTAAAATATGCAAGCATTTTATCAAGATGATTTGCGCGTGTTTAAAAAAAATAAAGCGTGTTTAAAAATAATTAAAAAAACTGAAAAAAAAAATTGTGTTTAAATATTCAGACATATAAACGGGTGATATATTTGCCTAAATATTACAACTTCTTGTGGCTGTTAACTATTTAAAATCACGTGCCATTTAGAAAAAAAATTTTAAGTAACAAAAATAGATAATTTAACAACGCCATTTCGGAGGTAAAAGTATTAAAATAGTGCTAATAAAAATTTAAAATTGATCGAAAGTTATTTAAATTTATTCAAATTTGCATTTAAATGTAACACTTTTTGAAAAAAACTTTTTTTTAAAACTCAAATGCCACTCATTAAAGTACCACAAGTCAAAATGTCGGAGAGTTAGTTCTGTCTAGTATATTTTAAATTAGACACATACATTTATAACCAACGTCCTTAATTCGACCTAAAATTTTGGCACTTTCATACATCAAGATGCACCAATTACAGCTCAGAAATTTAAGGTTTAAGTTTATTATCGGAGTAACCCAAAATTGTTAATAATTATAGCAAGTGGGGCATCTGGACACTTCAATTTCATATTTAGAAAAATGTAGATGGTATCACATTTTTAAATAATTGACATTAAATATCTGCTAAAAATCATTTTTTTCATATTTAAAAAAACTAAATATACTGACAGAATAGTAAAGTTAGCATAATAATATAGCATAATAGCAAAAATAACTTTATATTCCAACTTCTAATGCTTTTTTATTTTCATGTTTATACATTAACATCATTAGACTGCTTTAAGTTGCAAAAAAAGTTTAGATACGTTTAAAATTAATTTAGGAACATAATATGTTTCTAAAATAATAAAAGCTTATCTAAACCTTTACTTGCTTAGTAAAATGGAACGTATTAATAGTATATAAGTTATTTAGTAGAATACTAGTATTGCATGCATAGTTGCCTAATAAACTTACATTTAAATAACAATAATATAATAAATACTAAATAAAATATGTTAAAGTTGTTTATACTGATGTATTTTTATTGTCTTTTTGAATTAATTTACAAATGTTTTTAACTGAAGATTTCAATAATGTTTGTGTTTTGATGTACAATTAGTGTATGTTTAATAACTTATTTGAACTGAACACTTCATCAATTCTATTGTTTTTTTCCTTATGTTTGTTGCTGTACAGCAAAACTCCAAACCTGTTTATTACACTTTTCATCTTGGAATGACAAGATTCAGATGTATGCTCGTTAAACTACCTAAGGGAAAGACCGCTCAAATCAACAAATGTTTCCAGATGTGCGGTTACAACATGTACTTTCCAGGTAACCGTGAGTTGTTTATCTAAAAAATCAAAAATTTTACTATAAAATAGTTTATCAACAACTTAGTTTTATAAACAATGTTAAAGAATACAATGGTTACCTCCCTGCAACAGTCTTGCCCCATTTTATAATTTGTGTAAAACTTTTAATTAAAATTGAATAGTTTAGGTCAAATTTATAGGCAAAGAAACAAAGAAGAACCTTATTAAACTTTTTTGTTGTTTCCGAGAGAATATACATTTTAACAGGCATTACAAATTCAAGTTTGTTGCAACTTTAAAGTAACTCTCTCTACGTGTTTCCTTCAAATGTTCATCCATGGTAACCTTTTCGAAAGCATTCAGTGCTCTTGACCCAATCTATAAATCCAGACCAAAAGTGAATTATAAATTCTGCTTTTAAAAATGATAAATTTGTAATGAAAAATAAATTTTAAAAATATTTACAATATACTTATTTATCTATACCTTTTATTGCTTCATTTTTTTCACCGGAGATCCTGCAGACGAATACAGTTCATAGTAATCATTTAAAGATTGAAATGTTCTTAACTCTACAGAAAATAGTTCAGAAGAACCACCACACTATGTGCAGGCATACTTTCCTCCATGAGTCTACAGTTTTATATAATATTTTATTTCATAAATAGATTGTTGGGTAGAAAAAACCTTTTCCTAATATATGTGTTTACGTCATATGTCTTATTATCTTGACATTATTTAAAAACAACATACTAAATTTCCTAGCAATATGTTGATGAACTTCATTTCAAAAGCTAATGAGTGCTTGCATTTATGTAACTTCAATCTTTCCACTTGCCTTGTCATGTTAGAATGATTCTCACTTACCCTTTCACAATAAGCTAAAACAAGTGACGTATTTGCCCCTGACTATGGTCCTATGGAGCTGCTATTTTCTGCCCTGTCCTTGGTTGTATCAAACAGGTTTACTATAATTTCAATAATCCTCCACACATAAATATATCTATATAAATAGACATATGCATATTTGTATATAAATATGGTAAAATAACATTTTCAAAAACATCTTTTCAAAAAGTTGATTATTAAAATATAAATATTAATACCTGTCTCCGTCTCAATCTTTACAAATGTGTTTTGTGGAACCTGCCCTCAATATTTCAATAAAAATTCCAGAAATGTTGTAATATCTTCAATATGTACTGTCTCTCTTCATTGTAGTATAATCGTTATCTTTTTCCTTTTCTTGAAAGTCTAACAATTAAGCGACAATTGTTTGAAAGTAGCTTACTTTTTTCATCCAAGGTTTTCTCTATGTTTGACTCAAACTTTTCACCATTTCTTCTGAAAGTTTTTAACACTTCATTAGACTTAAACTGAAAAGTCCTAAGGTATTTAATAACGCTTCTGCCTCATTGTAAGGAATCTTTCTCTGATCACTTTCTGGATGCTAAGTGAAATGTAATTACTTTTACCACCTAAATATAAGACAACTGTTTATTTTAAGATTAAAAGTTTTTCATAAGATAAACTTTTATTTTAAGAATATATATGATAGCTTTTTTTAGTTACATGTTTTGAGAACGGTTTGAGCTCCAAGACTATGCTCTCGATCAGAAAAATTTTTTTTAAGAAGGGAAGAAGCTAACTGTTCCTTTTTTTTTGTGGAAAATTTAGAAATACTCTCAGAAAGATTTGCGGTAGCCTTAAAAGGAGAACATTTGTGGGGCGTACCTCTACCAATATTACAGAAGAATATTTGGCAAAGTTTGCAGTTATAAGTTAGTTCCTTTTTTCATACTTTTATTTAATAAACTATTTCTTCTTTGACTGAAATCATACACTTTGACTGCATACAATTGAGCGATTTCTAGAGGTTTGCGAACTAGACAAACCAGCATTTTTCCATTTTAGAGAAACTGCCTTTTACCAGCCTTACAGAGATATAAGTTGTTTTTACAACCTTGGCATAATCATGCAGGGTAGGCAAATATTTTTAGTGGAAACTCTGGATAACAGAAAACTTGAACCAGACCTTCCAAATTTTTATTAACTGCATATGTTGTTCTTTTTAACGCAGCAACAGCAGATGATCTTTTGAAAATGTACATGGTCTCTTTTAAAATGATGTTCTCTACTCTCCTTTGAGAGCGGAGGAGCCATAGATTAAATATATTAGGTATGAATAATAATATATGGGTATCTATATCATAATATAGGTATAGGTATCTATATTAAAATAAAAGTAAAAAAGCATATCCAAAAATAATTATTTTTATTACAAATATTATTTTTTGACTAACTTTGAGTATTCTAATTATATTTATGTATAAATGTTAGATTAAAGGTCTTAAAAAGTAGGTATATGAATATTTTGTTTTTATTAAGCTTAAACTTTCTGTCAGTATATTTAGTTTCTAATTTCTCTAAAATATGATACCTCTCAGATTTTTCTAAATATGGAAATGAAGTGTCCAGACGCCCCACTTACTATAATTATTAACATTTTTGTAGAAGTCAGATAGTAAACTTAAACCTTAAATTTCTTAGCTGTTCAGTAGTTTAAAGCAGGTAAAAGGTTTAGAGTTTTTTATTTTTGGTTCTCGGTGAGATGCATTATAAATATGATCATCTTTACTTTCAAATGAACGATGCTCATAAATTTACATGTTTTAGGAGCACTAAATAGACAGTTTGGAGACTCTACAAGAAATAAAATGCATTAATATCAACTGCAGCAAATGAACATTCCGTCAAAAGAGCTTTAGAATTCAAAGTAATAATAGTTATATGTCAGAAATATTTAAAATTACAAACATTAAAATAGTTGTTTTTCGTACAAATAATTGCATAAAAGATTCAGCTATTATAAATCAAAATCCATAGTCAGGGCAGTTCCGAAGTGGTTTTCCATAGCGGGTGTATGTATTTTTTTTCCAACTAGAAAGCCCAAAAAAATAAATAAATAAGGTCCTTAATATTTGCAGTTTGTCAACTATAGTTCAAAACTTGCTCAATGTGCCAACTCAAATGCTAATATGACAGCTTTTTAAGGGTGCGACACCCCAACACCCCCTCCTTCGGGACAGCCCTTTCCATAGTTTACATAGTGGTCTATTAATATGTCTAGCACTTCACCAATAGTGTCAGCTAGGTTTTGTTATAATACTGATATGTGATGTTAATGCATTTTTTTTCTTGCAGAGTACCTTCAAGATATCTCTTTAGTGTTCCCAAAACATATAAATTTATGAATAATTGTAAACATCGCTCATTTGAAAAGTGATACTACCCTTTTAAAAAATCTAGGTTCTAGGTAAAAACTTTTTTTACAAACAAAACTAACTGAAAACAAAAATTTTAAATTTCTAGAGAAATCAGTTTTTTGAAAAATGATTACTCTAGAAATTTAAAGTTTGTATTAATTACAAAACTTAATTGAAAAACTGTGCAAAACTGGCTTCAATAAAAGCAAGAAGTATAATAAAAACTGTTATATTTCTCCTTTATTAAATACAAAATTTCATAGCAATAATGAGATAATATTAAATAATTTTTTTACTATAATTCGGATGTTTCTTTTCTTATTGCTGACCTAGATCTCAGTGAATTCTCAACTCTACATTTAAATATTAGAAGTATTCGAAAA